GGCCTTTACAAAGTGACCTGTCTTAGCTGTGGACTAGTATTTTGTAAAATACAGTCACATTTCAGTTTTATAAAAATTATATATGTACATACATTATTACTATTTACAAATACGGACACAGAACAGCAAGTAAAGAATTATATAAATAATTATCTCTTCTAGTTATGAACTTTGAACTCATTTGCTTGTTGCCAAAGGTTGCTAAGCCTCATCAAAATTTGCACATGGAGGATGTGAAACATAATTTTTTTTTTTAAGTTATTATATATATATACGTTTTGAAATAACCTAAGTTAATAAATTACTATATTAGTACCATAGAATTCCACTATAATTTATCAAACTTAGTAACTGAGCTGTACTTAGATCTAAACAAATATGAAATTTTGAGCTCACTAAAGTTTCACATTACCTTTTCGATTCCAAGCTTTAAAAGAACGAGTTTGGCTCTGAATACTTCAATTATGCTGAGAATGTCACTAGGGGGACATTCTGAGTTTTCGATTGGTTATTCACATATCATAAACAGAAGTAAGTGTACATAAACATGTCTTTCCAAAAATGAAAAGAGGTGAGCGGGGCCACTGTATTTGTTCTGTACATGTAGCGTTATCTCAGCAAATAGAAAATATAGGATGTTCTTATTTGATATTCTAATTTGTTAATATTGGTGATTTGGGTTCCTAACTCATAAGAAACTATAGACTATGTATTTTGGCATCACAAACATCTACTTTGAACCAATGCTGCATTCAACATACCACGTGACACACAAAAATCTAAATGTAGGATTTCTTTTTTAATATTTACTTTTAAATTAAGATATTAACTAATGGATCATCCTAAAATTAAAATTATAATCTACATTTTGATACCAATCTTATTGATATACATTCATAAAATAGTAGTTCAATAAAATTTTGAATGCGAGTTTACAAATGCAATGACGTGGCCTTTAACCCATGACCATAGGAAGACCCATAGAGATAGGGTTAATAAAGCAAATATATCACAAGGAAAAACCTACAAATGATCTTTTGGAAACCTCATCTCAACAGTGAGCATTTTATGGCCATGGAAATTATAAATATGTTGTCAACATTGCCTGACAGTGCAGATTTGATTATTTGAAGCATACCTGGTCAGGCACCACTCGCCACAGGGTGGGATCCATACAGTACAAGATAAAAGAAAGGGAAAAGCCCCTGAAAAAAGGAGATATATATGTATATACGAAAGATAATTTACCCAGTCACAGTCTCACCAAAGTCTGAAGAATGGCTACAGACAAAAGACAATAACCCGACAATGAAGAAACAGTGATCTGATGCAGATAGTGAGATATGAACGTCTGTGGTGTAGTCCACATGCCCAATTAAAGAATTTACTCCAAGGGACGACAGAAATGAGACACCAGGGGAAAGGTAAGGTGCCTGATCTGATGAGAAGATACCTGGAACAAATTATGAGAAGAAGAAGACAAGAAAGAATAAGCCAATCAAATTAAATGCCAAACCCAATTTGTCAGGGTGGAAGAAGAAAGGTCATGAACAAAGGATATCTGTCAAGGAATGAATAGGCAGGAACGGGCACCATGCAAGGAAGCCGTGCAAATAACATAACAACAACAAAGAGCATGTATGGAACATAGTAACCTGTTCATATCTGTCTGAGGATACAAGTGGGAAATGGAAGGAAGGGAAATCATGGAGGAGTTACCCTTATGAGCCGCTAAAGTTTTGGGAAGGAAAGATCGATCCAGATAAAGGAGAATATATGTGGAATGATATAGGGTACATGAATCATCGATAGCTAATAAATCTAACCATCGACATCCACAGGCCAATAGGAGAAGGAAATAAATCTTAAGAGATAAGTGAAAAATCGAGCATCAGGACAGATGTTCAAATTGAGGCAAAGTAAGGCAATGAAGAACCACACAGACATCCTAATGTGGAAGGACTGCACACCAAGGTGGACGATGGATCTGGAAGGAACAAAACAATATGGAAAGGGTAGGAAAGTTAAAAAGTTTACGATACCTGGAAAAACGAAAAATGTGGAATAAGGTAACCTGATAACCCATGATCGAGGAGACAGAAGACCCCTGATCAAACAGCTAAGTGAGGAAATCCGTAAGATAAGCAACAGTTAATTGAGCAGGGGAAACTCTTGACCCAAAGCCCAATGGCAGAAAATGTTTCACTTACGGTGATAAACATCCCTAGAGGAAAGGTGAATGGAACAAGCTAAAAAAGTAGCCCAGATAAACCAAATCTCCTCACCAGGAACTAGATAAAACCAGGCATGAAGACAGAGGATATGAAGGGTCGATTGAAACGCTGGTGACCAATGTTGATGTAGAAGGGATGGAGTAAGAGGAAGAGGTAACAGAGGGGCAGATTGTAGATGGAGAAGCTGCAGAAACCATGGTTGTGCTGACAAGTAAGGAGCAATAAGAAGGACTTGACATGGAGTAGCATGGATGTTCGAAATCAACCTGGGAAGAAGACAGATGGGAGGATAAACATACAGGCATTTGTTGGTCCAATATTGATGGAATGCATCAACAGCCAGAGCAAGTTTATGAGGAACCAGAGACCAGAACATAAGTAACTTGGTATTGAGGGCTGTGGCAAATGCATCCAGGTGAGGAGTACCCCACCAAAGGCATATCCATTGGAAAACAAGAGGATTAAGAGACCACTGCATCAGATAAACTTTGTCAGGATGGGAAAGAAGATCTGCAATAAGATTGAATGCAACTGGAACATGGCATGCAAGGTGACAAATACCAATTGTGTGGGCCCAAAAAAGGGAGATCCAAGATTTGACCAAAAAGGGAAAGAGAATGGGTGCTGCTTTGGTAATTGATATAAGCTACCACCAGAGGATTGTCAGAATGGATCATGACCAGACAATTCCTGGCAAGATGAAGAAAATGATCCAAAGCACAACATATGGCCAGAAGCTTCAGGATGTTGATATGTTAAGATCTTTTGGCCAAAGACCACCAACTTGAAGCTTGAACTACCAAAGGCATCACTGCACTTGAATTTGCAGCAGGTAACAGAGCTGAAGAATGTCACCTACTCATGCTCTACCAGTCTTATCTGCCCCATCTCACAGGCCTCAGCAGCATAGCAGAACACCAACAATTTTTTACAAAAAATCATTAATGCCTTGCAGTGTGAAGACCATGCATTTCATCATCAAGCCTCTTTTCAATTAGATCATTCCAGCTCCACAATGACCCCAAAGCCATGAATCAAGCAGATGAATGCTTATAAAGTACTTCAAGAGATATTCATGAGGGGACAGGTCAAGGACACAGGAACTAAGGAAGCTGTGTTAAGTACATGTGGTTCCCATTACATATGTTCAATGATTTTCAGCACCATCACTACAAAAACTGTTCCAACATCAATGGGATAGGCATAACATCACTTCTATAAACATAATTATTCACCACCAGATTTCAGACACCCCCATGTGAAATAAACATCTGGAGCCACTGGAATCTGTAGAAATAAGTCTAGAAAGAAAATGAAAATACTTAGCGTAAACTGAAGTAGTAAAAGCCTGTCAGCACCTATGCAAAAACCATGGTGGACAATTACCTGTCATTACAGCTACATATAGCTGCTACAACACAGACAGCAAGAGAGCTAGTTGGACACTCAACATCTCTTGGAGCAACAGCATTCTCCATAAAGCTGAGAGAGCATTCAAGCTTTCCAAAAGCAAAAAATTTAGCTAAAAACCATAAAGCAAGCTATCCTCTGGATTGCTGAAAACAATGAACCACAAATAAACAGTGCTATATACATAATATGTGTAACTGACTTGCAGACAATGTTCCATAAAATTCAGCGTGGTTGGTTCCAAGACAAATGGTAGACAGGAAGGAAATTGCATGGTAAAACTATCACATGGATTTATGTGCAGATAGCTAAGCAACTGCATGGTAAGACCATCACATGGATGTATGTGCTGGGCCATGCAGGGGTAAAACAAAATGAGGAAGCCAACATGTTCGTAAGAGAAGCCCCTATAATAAATCCAGCATGACTGTACTGGCAGGATACTGATTTCCTCTGCACTAGAAAGGTGAAAATGGCAACAATGGAACATCTTCATTAACACTCAGTGGAAAAACAAAGTACTGTATGGTGTAGCCAGGAAAATCAAAAGAACGGGAATTAATAGAACAGTATTTAGCCATAAGGCTACTGGTAACATCAATATAAGAATTATTTTCTACCTTGTGTGAGGCAACTAGACTCTACATTTTCAGTGCAACCCCTGGAATTGTCACTTAATACTCAACTCAATCACTGAAAAATTACACAATAATCTTGAATACATTTTAACAGTCACCTCTAAATAACTGCACTCTACAATAAATCTGGTACCTAGGTGAAAGGCTGGTTTTGGTGATTGGGCACTGACTAGCTTATTTTAATTCATAAAGTTATTTACCAATTTATTTTAAAGTAGACTTACAGCAATTCCTAGAATGCCAGAACAAAATTCTCAAAACACAAGTATCCATGACAAAATAGGACTCATCATAAGATTCGTAACCCTTTTTAAAGTTCAAAGTTTACCATGATATTAACAGTAGTTATTGCCATTCAACTATTGTATAAGTTATTACGGAATATTGCAACTATTTAATTTTCCAGGCCTGAATGAACCAAAAACAATTGCTGATAATCTTATCCCTTCACACAACAATATAAAACACAAGAAATGTGAAGTTCAATGCAGTGAATCAGCCATTACAACTATCAACTATGGCCAACATGAGAGTTAACCAAGAAACAGTAATCTCCAAATTATTTGAAGTATCTATTATAATAACTTTACATACAAAAGTTTTCTTGAAAACTAAACTTAAAACTAACAAGTCATCTAATCAACAAACAGCTTAAATATGATCATTAATGCCTATCTTATTTGTACTCTCAGCTATATTTTAGAAAAAAAGATCTTACCGATTGCTGTTTCCCAGAGCATTCTTTCTCCTCTTTCCGTGTGTGAGCATGATGAAGAGCCCGTAAGCATGAACTGTCCATAGGCATCCACTCATCAAATCTTGCACTCCATCGTTCATAATGGATCAAGACTTCACATTCCTCTTCATCAATTGCAATTATCTTAGCTGGATACCTGTCAAGGACACACAGAGAGCCGTCACCAACATTATATTTTTATACTGAAACACAAACAGGTTAATACACATTTGACAACAAAAAAAAAATATAATCTGTTAAGCAACTTGTCAGTTCTGAAAGGTTTATCTTGATAACAGTGTAATCACTATTTTCACTCTCCATACATAACTAAAATCATCCAACAACTAGCAAGTAAAATCCAATAACCACTTTCTTTTCAAGGAACTTTCACTTTCATGGATCTCACTTCCCACATCAATTGGATTTATCATCACTTTCAACTTTCTACCTCCCAACCAAACTTCTACTTACACTTCCATTTCTTATTAAACTGTCAACCAATTTTAACTATAAAATCAACCTCTTGTGTGATATCTTATCAGAAGCTTACCAAAAAGCATACTTAACAAATCAACCATGATGACATCATCCAAAAGGTTAAGCAAAAAAATAATAAGATTTATGAAGTCATATTACAGCCTATTTTTCATCTAATCATTATGATCTCAATATAGTCACAGTCTTCCAAGACTGATAGAAATAAAATATTCTTTTTCCACTACACATTAATAAAGTATGGACTATGACTCCCAATTTACTGGCATAAACAAATTTATATTACACATACTTGCACTGTCCAATACTTTTCATAAAATACTCTGGCACCATTTCTGTCCAATAAATATCTCTTTATGGTAAATATGACAACTAAGTATCTAATACTTAACTATCTTACCATTTTTCTTGGAAATCCTTTGCTTCAAGTTTAGCACCAAGTTGAAAGACAATACCTGGGCGATTAGGGACTTTCCTTTTCTTTAAGTTTTTCTCTCCATCCCCATGGCTCCATTCAGAACCTTGAGAATTTACAGATATAGATCTTTTTCGTTTTCTAGATTTCAGGGCCTTAGTAAAACTCTGTTTACTAAGTTTTTTTAAGCCACTCTGACATATTTGCTTTGAATTTTCTTCCTCTTGTGATAATTTTCTGTTGGAAGAGTCTCTCATCTTTTTTTCTGTAAACCTGTATTTGCCATCATCAAGTAAAGATTCAGAGAAACACTTGGATCTCCCTTTACAACTGTCTTGAGTGCTCTCATTGAATAATATCTCATCAACAGATTCTTGTTTAGGATTTTCATATTTCTTGTTACACTCACCTTTTTTTTGTTGAAGATCATCTGAACTAGTTCTTTTTGTTTTTTAATCCCATCTACTTTAGCTATCTCTATAATACTTTTCTCGTCATCTTTATCTTTTGGAGATTTATCAAAATCTACTCTCTGTTTTTGGTTGTTTGATACTGATGATTTTCGCACTTTAAAAGGGGTGTCTAGTCCTCCTTTCAACAATGAATAAAAGTCAGGTTTTTTGCCTCTCGTCATTATACCTCGTGTTTTAAGTTTATCAACAGCTATGTTTGATGAAGCCTGCATATTTTCATCAAACTTTGAATCTCTCGCAAATTCTATGTTACAAATATCTTTTTTTTTTCCTTTTTTGCTACTTCTATTATGCTAGGGAATGCATTATTCAATAAAAAAAAGTCTCCAGTATTAGGACATCCACCTCTATCCACAATTGTCAAATTTTATTGTAAAACTATATGCATCATTAAAAATCTTTCAATCAGAATATTTTTTAAAGAGTAGTTTTATAGCACAACAGATATTATCCAAAAGGAAATGAATGGTGATCATACACATGTATTTATACTGGCTCGGAATAATAATAATAATGTCTTCAAGTTAACTTATTTTATTTCTATTCTCATCAGTGAAGTACGTTGAGAATCTTCATCAAAAACACATCTCACATGAAAGACCTATTAAAAATAAATAAAAAGATCAAAGAGAATGAGAAATCTTTCTATAAATTCAAATTTACTCAACACTGAATTAAAGCACCAAGTGCTTACACCATACTAAAGCATCATTCAATTACAATACTAATTACACAAAACATTTGTTTCACCTTCTAAAATGAAAAACATTTCAATACAAATTATTTGGTGCTACTATAGTGTGTAGTCTACAAAGATATTTATACTATAGCATGTGGTCTACACAGATACTATCATCACCACCATTTTAATGATTCACTAAAACAATTTCTTGCTAACTAATTTATATCTATCCACATTTTTGTTCAGCAAATAATAATAATTCAATAAGCTGTGTGTGTTCCAAAAGAGTACCTTAAATTTAGGTTACAATTGTGCTAGTTTTGATTGTTGGAAAATATTTCATTCTGATTATATTTACCCTAAAACATTATGTAATGGTATTCTGGACTTCATTAGTTTAAGACCATTATTTATAATAAATGGTGCCAGTTGCAAATAAACTAAAGTTAAAATGGTGATGATGATAGTATCTGTGTAGACTGCATGCTATAGTAGCATCAATTAGTTTTGTACAATTTAATGTGTTCACAATCAATATACAAACCTAACATACGAAAACATAAAACATTAAGTTTTTGTATAAATGTAATAACTATAGCTTAGCCTTAGAAAACTTATGAAACAAACTTGGCTTGAACAGTTAATATTTTCTTAATCTGAAAATGTATTTCCTATAAATACTCACCACCTCACATAGAAAAGATATCTTCCTCATGTGTCTGCCTATGAAATGTGCATGGCACTAGCATTGAAGCAATTCCCACCTAATTTCATGTGTTTTAACATGAACTGCTCTGGTGCATGATGACGTCATCAAGCAACAAATGCCTTTGACCAGTAGGAGAGTAATACAACCTCCATGTGCAATAACTCCCCCTATGCACTTGCACTTGTGATAACTTCATTCTTTGACAAGGCAAGGCAAAATAATGTGCACCAGAAGTAGGGATGTTGGGTGGCAATGTGTGAAAAAGAAGTAGCTACCAGAAATATATTTCCAGATTAGGAAAATGTTAACTTCCAAGACAATAACTCACCTCTTCACACAGAAAAGCTAGAAACCCATGCTGAATTGGTGAATGGGCTAGTTGTAACCAGGTGAGCTCCCTTCAGAAAGTGCACAAAGGGAAGTCCAAGGAGTATGATACCTAACGGCAGGGATTACATAGCGGCACATCCATGAGAGACCACATCTCATCTTGACCAGGGTATAAACTTTGCTCAGAATGTAGGAGGAGGGGAAGAAGCAAATGAGCCCCATGTGTCACAGGGACAGACTGAATAAGAACATGACCATCTGAGCACTTGCACTTACAAGCAGTCAGCAAGCCAATGTGTGTAGTGTGGTTGGGACTCATTCAGACTGTATCTAGTGTACTAACCTCAAATATAATGTACAGACTCTATGGGACAGATTCCAACTGCAGGAGGAGAGCACTTTAATTATGCAGTATGGTTGTATATAGTGTGTGCAGACCTCAACACCATTGAGCAGACACTGGCTGTAGGAGGAGGGCACGAGTTTTGGATTATATTTACTGTACATTGTGTGCTCATCTTTTTTCAACTGAACAAGCTCTGGCTACAAGAAAGCATATTAGATATATATTATGGTTTTGTATAGTGTGTGCTCACCTTAACTCCACTGAATAGACTGTATGGGACAGATTCCAGCTGCAGGAGCGGGGAACTTTGGTTATGCAGTACGGTTTTGAGGGAGGACTCGCACTACACTGACAGTGTCACCACCACTCCACTTCTCACCATATTGTGCTATGTCCAACCGATAAGAATTCATTATGGCCCACTCCCCCAGTAGCTTGGAACTGGTAAGTGGCAAAGGTCTCCTGTGCTTCACACAGAGAGGGGGGAAAGGATTCACATTGGAGAGACCCAAAAAAGTGCCCAGATCCCAATCAGGCCTACAGCCTGAAATGTCTTTTACTGGAGACACAGTAATTGGTGCTCACAAAACCCTATGTTTGAAAACCGGAAAGCCAAAGAAGTGGAGAGAACATTTCCCTGGTACTGGTTTTTTTCCATGATAGTCCATGGAAAAGGTACAATCTGAATAGACAATTGAGTAAATATATATAGCATGTGGATACCTCAAGTGGTTTTGCAGAATACTCCATCTCAACAGTTGGGTCTGGTAAAGTCAGGGTGGATGGTATGAGTGCTTTCCTTTATCCTGACTCAATGAAGATTTTGGGTAAATATACGCTGGGAGGCAACACCAGCCATCTGGTGGGATCCTAGGATTTAAAAGGGTCTCTGAAAACGAATATGTACCTATTCTTCTCAAACACGGTGGGGGATTGAAAAATAGCGACTGGTGGAAGATAAAACAACCAGATGATGTACATAAGGAAAAATGAATGTGTGGAGAGTTGTCCACATGCTTGCCTGAAGGATCTCATCCTAGGGCCAGCAAAGATGAGATGCAAGAGAATGAGAAAACTGACAAATCAAATGTGAAGAAAAGCGAATTAGCCTGCAAGCATCCACATCTAGAGACAAACATACCAACAGGAGGAGACGATGAACCAAACCAATAAGGATAGGAGAGAGACCCTGTAAAAAGAGATCCCCGGGTAGGGACAGACAAGGTCAGGGACCCTAAAAGTGGGAGGTCTGTACTAACCCTATAACAACAATGACATTTTTAAAATCCTTTCTACACGTTACTGAGTTACATGCAAAATGTAATTAAACCACATTACTGTCAATGTATTTTAATAAAATTATTATTATCAAGTATTTTACAATTCAAAGTTTTATATTATCTAAGTTTTTATTCCTTTATTTCAAAAGAAACCTCTAAAATGTTATTTAAAACTTGAGTATTGTTATCACATGACACACTCGCAGTTACAAATTTCAACTTTAAGAGCCGATATAGAAGAAACTGTGTGTGTAATGAAGACGATTCCGTGCAGATGTTAAAAATATAGTAAAGAGTTTGTTCACCAGTAATTCGAGTCCATTTCCAAGAACAGGAAACTGTTGTAAAAATTTCTCAGTTGCACACCCACTTGCAAAGTAGAAGCTGTGTTGCTAAGAAACAGCTTTAACTTGAATGACATGTTTCTAACCAATACAAAGAGCAGATTTCATGCTATATGTTGTAATCAGGGCAGGAAAGTTAGTCAATTAATGTATTTTACTAAGAAAGTTGAAAGGAATCTTAATCTACTGTTAAGAGTGCTAAGCTATTTTTTCTTGCTTTATATTAGTTTGATAGACAGTTAAATTGCATTTCAGTTTTACTTTTATATTTGAGTTAAATATGTATTATTTGTGTTTTACAATTCATATTTGAAAGGTTTAATGATTTGATAAATTTATTCTATGATTTGCCATGTTAAACAATTATTCACAAAGTTTCGAGTACAAACAAAATTTTGCCAGATGCTAAACTGTCTCTGCCAATCTTAACGTTATGTCATCCACTGGCACCTGTTGATGTGTGTCGACGTCAATAATCAAAGATAAAGAACAGCAAATGGAAATAAAACAATAAAAATAAACTATAAGTGAGAAGATAAGACGTGAACTTACACATATGACCCAAAGAAGATATTTTAAGATTATTCAACAAAGAATCAAAAGGTATGTACATACCTTTATTTCTTAATTTTAAGCATTTCATTGCACTGTACATTAGTGATAATAGCTAGAGTTAGTGATATGATAGAGAAAATGGAAAATAAAATATAAGCATTTACCTCAAAAAACATTTGATGTTCATTTAGGAGGTTCTAGAGATTATGCAAGTGAAGTGTGAAACTGTAGGATAATAAATAGTATTGTTATACTAAAAATGAAAATCACCTTGCAGTTGAACTATTCAGTCTGAATACAAATAACTACATTAAATAACAAATGTTTATTAGAGACAGCAGAAAAAACAAAATTACATATTTTATTTTTTCAAACTACATACTTCTTTGAAAGTTCTTGTCAAGTTTTAAACAATTTTATCCACTGATTAATTACTGGAACATAATTTAATGAGAGTTACATAACCTGCTTCAATTTGAAACACATCATTGTTATAGGGTGCCGAACTAGGTCCAAATGGTCAAAGAGGTGAGAGACAGAGAAATTTAGATAAAGAGAGAATATCAGTTACCATCCCAAACAGTCAAAGTATGGGGAAGGAAAAACCACTTCAGGGAGAGAAGTATATAAGTGCAGTGGAAGAGGGTGCAAGAAGTCTCCATAGCATAGACTTCCAAAAGATGGTAATCACAGGCAAGAAGAAGAAAGAAATAAGTCTGGAGAGAAAAATATTATAAAAAGTAAGAAGCCAACAGCTCCAATGGGCATGCATGAAATTATGCAAAATCCCATTAAGGTCTCAGTCAGGCATGGGAGTCAGGTGAGTAGGAGAACAAAGGAGTGGAATGTAATGGAGAAGGCAGGGGAAGAAACACCTTGTGGTACCAAGAAAGGCAAAATGTCATGAAAAAGGCTACCCAACAACTAGTAAAGGCAAAGATTGTCAAACCATGGATGAACAGCCAGGTAAAAAGGCAAAAAGGTGGTTCACATTATGACAGCCAGGAAGAAAGGATTGGCATATAGACTAATGACAAAAGACCCACTACTGTCATTGATACACAAACACTGTGGAAAGGTGACAGGAATGTGACAAGAAGAATGCCACACAATCAGAAAGTCCAGCCCAACCAGTGATGGATCAGGCAAATCCCACACATCATGATGAAGGGAAAATATCCCTTGATGAGAAAGGGATGTATAGGAGTGAAGCAGGAGATGGGATACTGGGGAGAGGAAGGGGGTTTCTGAATGCCAAGCAGACTAAGGCAATATAACCTGACAAAGAGAGTGATGTGTAAAGTCAAGAATCCGAGGGGAATAGGCATATAGAAAAAGGTGAGACCAGGCCTGGT